TGGAAAGGCATAAAAAAACGCCCTTCTCATCATCCTGTAAATATATACTTTATTTGAGAAAAACATAAAAAGGAATAAAAGGAAAAAAAAAAAAAAACAAAATTGAAAAAGTCGACGTCCCGATGTAAAATACAGAATATTGTATACACGTCTGCATAATCGTTTGTCGAGCAATGTATATCTTAAAAGTACTAAATAAAAGCATTGACGAAATAATAAACTCTCATTCGTTAAGATCTCCTTTGAGACCTAGCTTGTTTTTACCATTTTAATCTTTTTAAATATTGTACTTCCTTATGTTTCATTTTTATCTACAAAAGCTAGTTTTTATTATTAATGCACTTGTTTGCATGCAAACATTTACTGTGCCAGACTATGTTGGACCTACACGTCTTGATAAATAAATACAAATTACAATTTAAAAAACAGTAAAAAAAAAAAAAAAAAAAAAAAAAAAAAAAAACAGTAACTATTAACGTCCACGTGTGTGCGTGTCGTTGCAGGCTACGGCAGCATAGCGCCGCGCTCAATGTGGGGCAAAGCGGTGACGATGGGCTACGCTTTTTTCGGGATCCCACTGACGCTGATCTACTTGTCAAGCGCCGGGGGTTTACTGTCTAGGTGCGCCCGGGGCGTCTTCACGAGGGCCCTCTGCTGCTGCCTGTGCTCGAACTGCGGCTACTGCTGCTACGACGAGAGGCGGATGCAGGTGAGCGTATGTGTTGCATTTTCCTTTCACAATAATAATACATTTATACACATCGTACCGTCGTCACAACACTCGTCCCCACCTCCTCGGTGAATTAATTGCTATTTCAAAAGGTGATTCTCTTCAAGTGTCGTAATTTTTTTCTTTTATTTTTTTTTTTTAGTTTTTCTAAATTATAAAAGAGCTTTTTGTCATTCCGAAAGTCGGTCGAGAAACGTTTCCTCCGAGAAAAAAAAAAAAAAAAAAAAAAAAAAACTATATATACTTATTACTCTCGAGGTAGGGCAAAAATGTGTCAGTCCACATCTCACCCCTTTAAACTTTAAGTGGCACTGTTATACAACGTAGAAGAAGAGGAACCATAGCCAGAGGGGGAAGAGGACGCCTCGCAGCTGAATATTTAAACGCCGCGTATATACCTCCACCTTCTGTTCTTTCCCCCGTATTTTTTTCTTTTTTTTTTTGTTTCCGTGCTTTTTTACATTCCCGGAATTACGAGATGATGCTCCCTCTTGATCCGCAGACACACATTTCTGCTCGTCGCGGCGCATTTTTATAAATCTAAAAATCTGCTCTACACCGCCACCAGCATAACCACACACCGTAAACAAACCAACGCAAGAAAATAAAAATAAATAAAAAAAAAAAAGGTGCAGGTGGACGGGTGTTTTTTTTTAACCATCGGTATAAGCCACATAACCGAGGGCGGACGCGCTCATTGTTCTCCAATTGCAGGAAAAGGAGAGGCGCATGAAGAAGCGTCGACAGCAAGAGGAGCAGCTCCAGCAGCAGCAACAGCAGCTCCAGCTGCAAGAGCCGTTCTACGTGAGGGCCAACGTGTCGACGTACCCGAGCTCCGTCGAAGTCAAAGCCACGAGTCCCAAGGACGAAGTGTCGAGCCTCGGCTCGGGTGACCGGCCCAACGTCACGATACTCGCCCCCATAAGCATCTGCTTCGGCGCCATGGTCTGCTACATCGTAGCCGGCGCCTTCGCCCTACACAAGCTCCTGGGCTGGACCTTCATAGGTGGGTGCACTCTCACAACACACGTAACTATAAACTGTCGTGTCGCCGCAGTTGTGTACATGGATGAAAATTATCGGTGGATTTCAGACGCGAGCTACTTTTGCTTCATGAGCTTGAGCACGATCGGCTTCGGGGACATGGTGCCGGGCTCGTACCCCCACGAGAGGAGCCCCGAGGCGAGCAACGCGACCATCTGGTTCTGCTCGTGTTACATCATGTCGGGGATGGCACTCACTGCCATGTGCTTCAACATATTGCACGACGAGATCGTGCACCGGCTCTCGCATCAGCAGCCCCACGCGCTCGTGGGTGGCGACCTGCAACTCCACCACCACCACCAGCAGCAACAGCAGCACCACCACCTGCACCATCACCAGCAGCAGCAGCAGCAGCAGCAGCAGCAGCAGCAACAGCAGCAACAACAGCAAAAGTCGCAGTTGGTTGGCTCGGATCTGAGGACGAGCGCGAGCGTGGACGAGCTGCCTGGCCACCATGACCCCTTCGCCATGGCCTCGTGACAATTTCCGGGCAGCCACCAGCTGAACGTCACCGAGGAGAGCCTCTGCATGGGCGAGCCACCGGCCGTCGTCAGTATCTTCGCCCACGAGAACGAGATCAACATACTCAAGGACTCGTACGGCAGTAACCAGGTCGACGTCACGCGCGACTGCAAGCCCATACTCAAGCTCGAGGAGCACCTGAGACCCGTGCCCCCGCCTCCGGCCGTCTACACGCTCCCCGAGCTCGACGAGGAACTCGACGAGGCCAACACCGAGATGTAATAACTCCACCCTCCTCCCTAACCCCACCCCTTTTTTACCGAATCTCTCTTCTAAGCGTCTACGCCATCCATCTCTCTATCTTTCTATTTCACTCTGTGTGTATATCGTAACGTTATAACGAGTAGATTGTTAGCCAAGTATCGTCGATCGCCACCTCCTCCATCGCCGACGCGCATCGCTCCAACCTCGAGAACAATAACCAACGCTGTTGACGCGGAGATGTTTGTACGCGTTATCGCGTTCGCGGGCAAAGTAAGACAGCTCTTCCAGTACTTAGTGTGTGTGTTAGCAGTGCGCGTTGTATGTTTGGCTATTTTTTTGTTTCCTCCGTCGAGCTTTCGAACGGGGGACGGGAGTATTGAGTTGCTTCGCGGTACGGCGTGGCTCTCGAAATTCGAGTGGAAAGCTTTTTTTTTTTTTTTT